TTATTGGACCGGAGAACAATGAACATCTTTGTGATAAAGTTGAGGTGAAACTCTGTTATAATAAGATAAGATGGAAATGTCGGAATTGCATTTTTATTTGAGCATTTTTAATAGAGAGGGAAAATTAATAATTAAAGTGAATGTAATATTCAATTGCTCTTGAGTTTACGAATAAATTGAGATTTGATGGTTCCTTCTTCTTGGGATTGCAGGTTTTGACAGGGGCTTTCTGCAAATCCACAAGGGACGTGTTAAATTTGGACGAAAAAATTCTCCTCATGCTCTCTCCAGATTGTTAACTTATGCAACGGAGTTGTCCGTAAATACTCGATTGATTTAAGTGCACCAGTGGTCCATGTTTTCATTTATTTATTCCTCTCAGAGTTTATTAGAGTGCAAAAGTTCAAGGAAAACACGAATGAAGAGGTAACGCGAAATATCCAACTTAGGAGGCAATATTCGGAATCAAACAGCTCCGCAGACGGAAATAAAGTTCTCTAATTCTACAAATTTCTCATTGAACTATTGAACCGAAATTCCCACTCTATTGATTTTCACTGGAAATTTCTGTCACGATAAATTTTAAATTACGAGAATTACACATCATTCAACGCGAAAAATCCGTGGTTACAGCCATTAGTCTACAGCAACTTTGTTCGATTTTGCTTTGTGAAATGTCAATTATTTCGTGTTTAAAAAAAAATAACAAAGGAAAATATTCAGTACAAATATACAATAAATTCGCGAAATGCAAAAATCCGTGGCTATAGCTATTTGTCTACATCAACTTTCTCTTTGGAATTCCAGTGTTATTCACTTTGAATCCGAGAGGAATTTTGAAATTTGGATTATGTCCTGTTTAAAGAGGATGACAAACGGAAATATATAGTTATTCGAATACAGAATTAGAGTGAGTATGCAATAAGGTCCCCAGGAGTCACCTCAGCACACAATGCGAAAAGAACGTCGTTAAAGTTACTGGTCTACAGTAACGGCTCCACCGGGCGTGTATATAAAAACCTCTTTGGTGCTCTTCTAGGATCCCTTCTCTTGTCCGTCTTCTGGCATTACACCGTCATGCATTTACGTACTACGGTACTCGTAAAGAGTCTTGGCAAAAGGTCGTGTAGTGTTTACGGAATCCCGCGTGGCTCTCCCCGTCAAACAGTTTCTCGATCGTTTCGTTATTTTTTTTAACTCCCTTTTTTATTTCACCTTTTTCTAACTTCTGGTTATTAATTTTTTTTTTTCTTCCCCCGAGGGGGTTCACGGGGTTACATGTTTCCGGGGTAGCAAGAGCTGAAGAAGAATCACTCGGGTACAAGTGAGAGAAAAAAATATTGAATGACAGTGTCTGCCACCGGATCGTTAACTAACGTTTCTTACCGGTATTATAACGACTGGACTTTGCTAACACCCACGTTGAATTCACTAGGAGTGTTGAGTTCCAGAAGAACATGGGTAACAAATAACGAGAGATGATTCTCTCGTAAATCAACACTTGGAGTAATGTAATGACATTGTTTTGCATTTTATTTTTCATGGGGACAACATTTTTCGACGGAATATCTGTTTCCAGAAATACTGATTAATTGCACACGCATATCTTCCGACGATAATGCAATATGCCAGAAATAATTACTGGTATATATATTTTATATGAAATTAAATTTGTAAGAAGTTTCTTGTAAACAATTAATCAATCATTTCCGTCGGTTTTCCGCGGATATAGCAGCGGCTATGTAAATACTGGTAGTATTGAAAAATAATGTAATAGTGGATATAAATTGTGTCGAGGAATCAATGAATAATTATCTGTAGTATAAACAACGGATATATCGTAAATCAGTAGTTGAGAAAAATAAAATGTAAATGATGTCGGTGCGTTGTATAATTTTCATCAGAATTCATCTTGAAAAATGAGTGATTTTTTGCAATCATCCACGAATTTTTATCGTACATTTTTCTCCTCATGCGCCTTTATTAAAAACGGGAATATTTTTTTCAAATTCACGAGCTGCTCTAGATCCGTCGAATGCCTCAAAACTTTAGCATCAATCACGTGTCTAATTAAGACACGTCAGAGCGATGAAACGTTTCAGTTATATATGAGAGTAAAATGGAGGGAGTGAGTTTGCTGAGTGATCGAGATCGCCCGGGGAATACAAACGAGCGTAAAATTGGAAAATAGCGAGGGATGATAGAGATGATTTTTTTTTTCGGGATAAAAGCGGCTGTTTTTCCAAATCCCATGTCACAGTATCACGCGTATAACGATTGACAAAAATCAGTGCGTCGCACGTAGATTAGTGGTGAGCTTTTGCGCATGCTAATTAACCAATTTTTTAGCGCACAGATAGGTCGATTGATCAATTGAACGGATTAAAAGGTACGAGTGGAAAAAAAAACAGACTGAACTCCGCGAAAACTCTAGAATAAAAAAAAGAACACTGAAGAAAAAAAAAGAGTGGAATAAAAAAGAGAAAACGTTGACATTTACTGCACTCGTAGCATAATTGTGGACATACTTTAATGGCTGTAGTACTGACAATTATATCTGTCTCGTGAACTTGTAATTTATTCAAGACTCGAAAAGTAGTTGCGGACATTATTTCCCTCTCTTTTTTTTTTCATTAGCTATAGGATTTCCATGAGAAAACATAGTACGAAAAAATTACGGAAAGAAATCTGACGGATGAAGATGGCGGCAATTGAATTACCGCATTATTCTCATTGCCGGGGTATTACAATGTTGCTAATGTGGACAATGTCGGAGGTGTACGCGTGTGCGTTGGGAGAAGGCAGATAGAAACAGACGATTCAATAGAGAACTGATAGAGAACAAATGAGAAAGATGGAAAATACATGACCTTCGGTAAACGTCAAATGGTTTTCAGTGTTGACGCGCAGTGCCGTAACAATTTAACGATATTTTAACCACTGGGATACGCACTTTAATGAGAAAAACCTTGGAAATGCAGACTTTGTAGGAATTCTTGGTAAATAAAACATCAGTAGGAAGTCAGTAAAATCGAAACTGGCGTGCAAATGTGGAAATGGAGTAAAATTTTCCAATTTCGTTGAAAAACCGTTGAAAATTCACGACCAGCCACTCAATTAATTAAAAAAACATTTACATAAATGCATACCTTTTTTCCACCAACCGGTTTTTGTCAAATATCTCAGAAGTGAGAGGAGATATTGATATTTTCATAGATACCTTTTTTGCAGCTCATTTATTTTTCTTTAAAAAATGTTGAGGTGAGAATATCGCGATCTCTCCTCAATCCCGAGATATTCGATAAAAACTCGGGCGATGGAAGAATGCACTTGTACATTATCACTTTGTCGATGGATTCCAAACAATTATTTACTAGTGTAAATATTCAACAAATTTATTCGCCAAGAATATGAATTGTCTATAGATTGAATGAGTTTCCTAATCGCATGATCTCGCACTTGACTCATGTCCTCCACTCATACTTGTTAAACGCACACGTGAGATATTTTCGGCATAATGCGCCGCCGGGCAATTGAAACACGCACCTCTCGTAACCCGTGTCATTTGCACATCACAATAAAATGCTTGCCACCCCCTTCTCTCCCCCCCCCACCCACCAACTTCTGCAATCTGATTCTATTTTTTTTTCCACCCGCATCCCGGTGTTGATTAAATTCAACGGGTTTACATGACGGGTTTAATTAACCGGAGGGGCATGGGGTGACAGTTGGAAAATACAGACTTTTGACATCTCGATTGAAATGTAGAAAAGTTGGCAGGAAGTGTATGGCATTCGATAATGTCTAACGTGCTTCGATCATTGGCATCGATACATCGTTAAATTGACGCGTGTCAACTGACGAATCACTTGGCGCGTCTTGCCAAACACGGAATTTTCCCCTTGACAGCTGATTCCCCTGCATTGTCTCTCTAATTATTTTCGAGGCATTCATTCATTCGTCTGTCTCATTGTGGAATTCTGGATTTATTGATGGGATTGTAAATTAATTGACAGAGTAATTTCGTAATGGAGGAAGAGTTCCCGCTCTGTCAATTCTCGAGATGTTCACTATTAACGAGAAACTGTCAATTATTTACCGAGTGATTGTTTTGCTGTTGGTGGGTGGGGGAATTGTATGACACGTGGTTGTCCATTTCAAACGAGAGGATTATTTTTCATGCGAAACTCTCGATGTTGGCGAATGATACGGTTGGAAAATTGGGAAAGCGTAACGCGCCCCGGCCTTTTGGCACAACTCCCCAGGAATACATGATGTTAAATAAAGAAAAAATAACATGATTATGTTAAACTGCGCGTGTCATTTACGCGTGTACCCACCCCCGGGCCAGAAAATTCAGTGTTGTGTTAAATTTCCGACTGCCGTTGTAAATTCTCGAGGACGATGTGCGTCACTTGTCACTAAAATACTGCCAAAGGTTACCCGTCCAAGGTCCCTACATCATTTCCAGCTTTTCCCCGTAACCATCTCACCCAAAAACATTGAGAAAGAGAAAAAAAAAAAAATGTAAAAATAAATATAAAATAATGATCTTGTATTCACGTGTCTCCCATCAGTGACGCGACGGATGACAAATTCTTGAGCGCAATAATTATCAGATGACGGAGAAACGACCAAGTCGATGCACATTCTCACATCCACACTCGCACTCGCGGAATTAATATTTTCAATATTAATCGCGGGCCCGCGGGTCCACCACATGACCAGGATCTACTGGAAGTCGTGTAAATCACCCAAGTGTCGGAAGAGCGGTTGAAAAATAGTGAAATAATCCTCGACACCTCCGATTTGCCAATGATATATTGAAAATAATGATGTTTATACTGATAGAGGGTGATCATTTAATCGCACCAATTTTTTTCATTTTTCTGGGGAATATCACTTTTATCGGGAGGGGTGGGGTGTGGGGGGGCGCGGTGTGTAATATGCACGCACTTTAGACACGTTTAAAATTAGACACTTTGCATATCAATATTTACCTTGCTACATGTAAAATGAATAGAGCCTGCCTGAATCGAACGAAAGAAGGCTCAACCGGCCCACTGTGACGTCGCCGGCCTACTGTCAGCTCAGCGCGAGCTCGGCCCCGCAGTCAACTAACCAACCGTCTACCAACAATCCGAATTGCAGTATTTACATTTTTTTTTATTTAACCACCCACTCTCCCACCCCTTCATTAATTCTCCCACGATTTTTCATGGATTATTTAACATTTTCAAAAAGATTTTAACACTTTTGCCTTTTTAAATCGTCGGTAATGCAGTGCACTTGAGTCACGTAGTAGTCAGGTGTGAAACTGCTCACGCATACATTGAAGGGCTCGCGGATCTCGCGGATCTCGCGGATCTTGCGGATCTCGCGGATTTCGCGGATCTCGCGGATTTTGAGGATTTTTAGAACTTTTTGGAATTCATTCAGATATTCATATGTCGCGGGAAAATTTTGGGAGAAGTTTCTGAGAATTTTTGAGAGTTCAGGGGGAATGTGGGATAGGTTCATCTGATTTTTGATTCGCATTTTTGGATTTACGGGGATTTGATGTTTTGAGATTTTTGGTGCAAGAGTTGCCAGTAAAAATAATGAGTTGGTGAATTAATTAATGATTAATCATGCAATAAAAAAAAAAGAATAAGCCCCAGTGAAAAATTGAAATTTCAATCATTCGGTTACACATACAAAAAATCTATATTCCAATAATTATATCGGCTGGAATATTTGTGCGTACAATGAATATATATTCCATGCACGTATGAAAGGGGGGAATACCATCGTTTAGCGTTGAAATAAAATTCCGCGAATAAATGAAAGAAACAATGACAGATTGCGCGGGTAGACTGAAACAGGCGGCAATTACAAAACCCATCATTGATGATCGCCCCTACCCGTGAGATTACCCCCTGGAGTTAGCTCAGGGGTTGGAAAGCGTAAAGAATATAATGATAAAAATGAAAATTATATAGAAAAAAAAAAGCACGTCGTCTAGACGTGGTCGACCAGGTGGCGCAGAAGGCCACCCACAAACCGCGTGGCACGCAGGCGCGTACATACGACTACTTTTGTCCACTACATACCTATATACATTCTTAGATAACACGAATTGCGCGCCTCTCGTCTGCGTTTCGCACTTAAACGCAATCTTGAGTATTTTCATCGTGTATGTGTAAACCCCCTGCACCCTCACCCAGATGTATGTCCCGCAACTACGCACGCGTTCTGCGCACACAGACATTACCCCCTACGTACTTCATGTACTTCTCATACGTACATTAGCGCAAGAGTTCGATCCACCGGGCGTCTACGCACAGTATGACGCATCCTGAGACAAAAAAAAAAAATTCGTTCAATGGATAAAAAATTTTTATTCCATCCATTACATTCGGTGGAATTTCAAATAAAAATCAATCGATCGATTTTCTGGTGCAATTACTACTGCAATTTCATTCTGGTTTATGACTCTATTTACACTAGTCTAAGTACGGAGAACAGATCCTAAAACTGGGGAGTAAAAATGGGTAAATAAAAATTTTGAGAATGGAAAAAAAATCGGAGGCATTTGGGGTGAATTTGAAAAAAGTTTCTTTTTTTTTCCCTCGTGTAATTTTGAAAAATGCAATGGGTTATCCATCGATTTCCAAACTATCAACTCAGGTAATGCACTCTGTTTTTATTTCAAGTGCGGAAAAACAATGGGACAATGAGACTCGAGTTGATACTGGTCATGGTAAATAAAATAAAGCCCCAGGGTTTCTCGGTAATGCGATTTTATTTATCAGACGGCCAATCGAATAGCAAAATTATTCTTATATTTTGTTTTATTTTCGCGTGCGTCGGTCATGGCGTGGCGCTTTGTGAAATTGCGTTTACGTGCGTCATTAGATAATATTCCTGCGAGAACAACACAAGTGGACAGAAAATTGGTGGTAGCTTTCGTGCGAACGAAAAGTGATGGAGTATGTATGCGTGGCAGACGTTTCATAATTCGTTACTGAGGGGTATAACTCGACTCAGACACGTGCACGGGGCTTCCTCGATATTCCAACACGGTGTGACGCATCTTCTGACGTTGATTTTATCGGTTGCAACTATTTCCTATATTTTGTAAACACGTGGAGATATTTTCCGACCAGCACACCCGGATTTTTCATTCTGCGATTTTATTTTTCAATTCTGCGATTTAATTTTTCAATTAAAACATGAATTTTTCGATTCACTGGAAACATTTCTAAAAGAATATAATTATTATTAATTTTGAAAAAATGAGAAATGACTTTCCGATGTTCAAGTCGGGGTTAGATTTCCGGATTTACATGAGGCTTTGGGTTATATTCGGACTGATAATATAGTAGTCGCCATTCTCAAGTTAAATTCCATTGATTTAGTTAGAAACGTAGGAAATTATTGTGAATATTCTAAGACGGAAAATTGCATACGAGAAAACTACCTGCATTCAATTTTCCTCATAATTTTATAGCATAATGTCATGAAATTACAGAGTGACATAAAACAAACTGACGTAGGATAATTTCAATCGCAAGCTCGATGACTTTAAGACTTGAATCTAATGTTTTTATTTAAAATAAATAATTAATAATAACTCTCGTTAAATATTTCTGTTACGAAGACTGTCTTTTCCCAAATAAAAGTACCGCAAAAAAATATATCGTCGATAAAGATGACCCCAAAAAGTTGAATCCGCAAAATTTCCGGTCATAATATCACACCCAGTAATAACACCAAAAAAAATGTAGACCCACGTGGGCAGGGGAGTGAAAAAAAAAAATCACCGAGGGAAAAAGGGAATTCCCATTCAGTCCGTTATTTCATTTTTCCTTGGATGCAAATATATTCGTTTGATTTCGCTTTCCCACGCACCGGTAAACTATCCGCGAATCACCTGATGCCCGATTCACTTGATAAACGGCCTCGTTATCACACCGAAATAAATCACGATTTTCTATGAATAAATATAATTCAACGCGATCCACTTTGCCGCACAGCGCGCGCAACTCGGTTTGAATATTTTTAATCGGATTTGTTTTTTTTTTCCATTCCTCCGGGATGATATGAGTGAATGGTTCTGACACAGTGTAGGTATTTGCAACCTTCGGTGTGTCGGCAAAGTGATTCCTCTTCGTATTCCTACGGTTAATTAGGATGCGGCTCGGAAGCTTAACACTGCCGCCTTATACGTACCGCGTGAATACGCGTGACTTCGTTTATGGGCTCACGTATCCAACCGCTTTCGGAATAGGAATACTCTTTTTTCACTCTTCTCTCCTTTTTTTTTCCAATTCATTTCACACTTTTTTAACATTTTTTTTGGCATCTAACGGTTCTACAACGGTATCGGCGCCTGGAATACGGGAATAATGCAAATTTCATCTGCAAGTCGAGGTAATTAGTCGATGGAAAAATAGATACTTGAATATACTTGATCCAAGTATATTTTATACTTGATTTAGGTGTATGCGTTATATTTCTTTCAAGTATATATGTTTTTTGTTGTGATTTGTAATTCAGTTTCGAATTTCTTTAGAGATTTGAGAAATAATTTTCAATGGACTGTCGATAATTATCAGTTTCAATTGATACTCATATCGGAATTATCTCTCCGATCTTATTTTCCCGGCATCTAACCCGGAATGAACCTCGAGTAAACTTCTATGATGTAAATTAAAATATCCGCATATGGGAAATTCTGCATCTCGCGGCGAGAAAATTTAACTAAAAAAAATCCGATATAATCGCGGAGTTATGTATTACATAAGGATTGTGCCAACTTCATTGAGTATATACTATTCAGCTAATATAATCCATGAAGGATACAATGTATTATGTTAGAAATTTATCGAACGCAGGATTTATCCATTTTTAATGATTTTTTATTCACCTGATTTAATGCTTTGTAATTTTGCATGTGATTTCTTCGTAATATACTATTTACATCTGGCCTGCCATTTATCGTGTCTTACATTTGTTGGAAACACTATATCCCAATGTTGCAACTTTTCAGGTACTTGTGCATGTAATGAAATATGAGTAGACAATTATTTTTCTTTTTTGGAAAATTTGAAAGATCAATGTCCCATCCAAATGCAACTGAAACGCTGCGAATAATTAATAATATTAATCCCATAAAGTGCAACTTCGAAATAATACTGAATTATTTCCGCGAATTAATTCTGCACGAAGAGGTACAGCAACTTAAATCCCATTAGAACCTATTCATATTAATTAAATTCCAACTCAAAAATGCATTCGTTTATTCCATTAATTCATCATCACAACTGATCCTACATATTTAATATCCAGAATTACCTCATTCCAACGATCCAAGAGTTGCATCGAGCCATAAATAATTCCCCTAAAAAATCCCCCACCTGGAAAATCCCCCAAAAACGTCCAATTAATCACCCCCCAAAAGCCTCCCCTCCCGCCCTGAATTTCCAAAAAACAAAAACCCTGATAAATCCCAGAATTTTCCCATCCTCACTTGAACGACTTGACGTCATGGTTCCGAGCCGAGGAAGGACGTCTGAAAAATAAAGTAAGACTTGAAAAATAAAGGAAACCAGAAAGAAAACAAAAGGAGATGAGGATGAGGAAGAAAGAAACGTAGCAACATCGTGCACACAATCCAGGCTCGTCACGCGCTCTAAAGACGTCGACGTTGCTTCCTCTCAGGGCGACCAACGGGGAAAGAAACTGCAAAAAAGAGAATAAAGAAAAAGGGGACAAGGGTGAGGGGGTAGGAGGGTGAGGGTAGGGTGGTCGATTGGAGGCACAGCAACAAAGAGGAAATCAAAACGAAAAGCAAGAAAAATAGTAGCGATGTTGGATAGACGCAGGAAAGGGAACAGAGGCAGACTGAGGATGACGATAGGTGAGAGAAAGAGGGAGAAATGAGAGATTGTGGGAGAGGGGTGGAGAGGGCAGAGTGGGAGAGAAGGAGGAGGGGGTGGTGAGGGAGTAGGAGGAGAAGGTGGTAGAGGGGGAGGTAAAAAGAGAGAACGGGAAAGTGTGCAGCAAATTCGTGAGGTCGGGGACGGAGGGCTA